CGTTATTAATAACATTGTGTTGTCAATTCAGTAGAAATATTAAAATTAAATGAGCAAGATACCAGTCAAATGTGATTTTCCAGAATATTAATTAAATGGCATTCAGTACATTAAATGGTGAGAAACATCAGAGCTTTCCAATACTCCAAATGTAAGAAAAGAAATGGAATTCTGGAGGCGTGCAGTACAGGGCACTCAGAGACTTCTAAAGGGCATCTGTGGCCTCTCAGCAACTGAACTCTCCACTAACTCCAGGATACCTGGGTCCTTTCTTACCTCCTCAAAGAAGACTAGATCCCACTGGTCTCTTATGCTTGGTATTGATTCTAAAGCCACAGCAGCCGAGAAAAGTAGAAGTCCCATATACAGAAAACGACCCCTCCCTAGTGCAGAGGATTCCCTGGTTCATTCCTGGTGGGTCCTGTCTGTGTTAGTCCAGTCCTTCCCATGTCAGCAAGCTCTTTCCACCCACGCAGCAGTTTCAGATCCCTTCCTTGTGCCATGGAAGAGAAGAGAGACGGGAAAAGGAATATGAAGGAATTTGGAGAGAGAAGGGAAGGTCTCCGGGAGAGCTGAATCCTACGGGAAGCCAACCTAAAGAGTCCCGTGCTTGAAGATAAGCTGAGGACCTGTGTTCTCACTGTCCTACAGTGTGATGGCCCTGTTGTCTTTCTCTTGATGGATGTACCAACTGCCCATGGCTGAGGACAGCATTGTCACAAATAGGCGATGCAAAACCCTTGGTTGTTTATAGAAATTGGAGCATAGTCAGCTTATTTAAATTTCAGGTTTAATTTGAAAATGTCCTTCTTTTCCTGTCTTCCTCCTGGCCAATGACTTCCTTCATACAATTGGTAGATCCGAGTTATCACTTGACTTATATGAAATTGTTGTTGACTTGGTATTAAAAGACTGGAAGAGGGGCTATTGCTGGGAAAACTAAAATGATGACAATGGTTAAAAAGTCTAACATTTTTGAACTTGTATTGATTAAAATTATTGGACTAACAGCTATCACATTAATTATCTTGGGTATCTTATCAATCTGTTGATTTGGGTGTTATTTACTGCTATCGTTACTTCTCAAATTTTCCATGAGAAATAGGAGGTTAGAAAGGCTAAGTGCCAGAGTTTATGCCAGAATCGGGCAGGCGCTGGGGGCAGGAGTCTTCTACATATGTGCATCAGTGCAAGAAGACATAAAACTATTTTTAAAAATCATGAGATTTGGCAATGTCATCTCTAAGTTGTATCCAGGACTGTCAAACTGCAGATAGAAATACACACTTCGACAGCTTTCTGGTTAATTCCATCCATGGTCAGAGGTAGAATAAATTAGCCAATCCTTTACCCATGGGCTTGGTGTTTGTTGGTTGCTGGCTTCCTTTAAAGTCAGGGAAAGCATTGCTCATGGTATGGAGGGCCCTAATGCTGCTAATTCTCCCTTCTTCAGAAGGAAATTTGACTGTGGGTGTAAGTCCTACAAGTCTGCTGAACGCTGCTTTTCTCCCAGCTACTGTTTTCACTATGGAATCCATTCATGCCATCACAAGACAATGTGTAGCCCAAGCATTAAACATAAATTATACTTATTCACACTTTGTTCCGATTCTCAGCTTATAATGGTTCCCCTTTCCTCAAATTACAATCTACTACTCTCGTCCTTGTGTCTTGACTGCCATATGAAAGGACAGCTTTAAACTGTTAAACACCCTTAGAGTATAATAAACATGTTACAAATCAGTACTACTTAGGAAGTAGTACTGTGAACAAGGCTTTTTCCATGTTTCTAATGAAAATCCCCCTCCCTCGTGACACTGTAATGCTGAAGGCAGGGACAGTCTTGCTCTTACCATCTCTGCCACACCCAGGCCTCACTCACATGGGCCACTAGAAGCAGCAGACAATAACCACAAGATGAGGGAAGATAAACACAGGGCCACACACAGCTCCTAACTGTCCCATCCATAGACACTGTCTTTCTGAGATTTGCATCGTAGGTGCTGGTGGGAGGAATTATCCGTTGTGATTGGCTTTTGTTTACAAAGTCTTCTCCCATGGTCATTTTGAGAAACTGGAAACGTATTCCATCAGCTCTCACCACCAGCCAACACCGCTGATCCGTGATGGAGCCAGGGGGTGTGCCGGGTTACAGGTGGTTCTGACTCTAGGAAACATTGCTGACTCTGTGGAGTTTTCTTCTTTCTGCCCTGCCATGCTTCCAGTCACCAGCAGGCTGCCTTCACAGTCTGTCTAGATGCCCTGACTTGGTGCAAGGGAAATGTGGGATTGAGGATGCTAAAGAAAATCATTCGATTTTAATAACCCTGCTACTTACACCCAGGATTTTTCTTCTCCTGCCTTTCCTGCTGATTTCTTACAAACTTCAAGGTCAATTTAATTTTTGTACTTCATTACTTTGGTGCAGAACTCTTGAGATTCTCTGGGACTCCTTTTTTTTTTTTTTTTCATCAGACACTGACAGGTGGTCCATGCATCGGGGAGGAGGAAGAGGTCAAGGACCTTGCCTTCTTTTCTCCTCAGCGTCTCCTCCAGCCCTGTCTTGATTTCCTTACATCTTTCACCTACTTCCAAGGCTTCTGTAATTCCCGTGGCTCATCTGCTTGAACTCCACATTACACATTATTAATGGCAAATGAATGTTTTCGCCATTCTTGTTACCATGGCTTTCTTACTGGGTCTGCGTGCATTAGGAAGTCCAATGGTAGAGTCACATTTCTTTGAATAGCTCCACAATTTCATGCACCTACCATAAAAACAAGCAAATTGACACCCTGCCAGGAGTAGCCAGAGGAGATCTTAGAAGAGAGTTCATAATGACACTGTTGCCATATTGCATGCCTGTAAATAATTCATTAAGCCAACCACCCTTTTGTTTTAAGCAAACACAAGCAGATGCCTTCCTAAATTGGATGCAGACAACAGTCTTCAGGAAAACATTATTGTAATATGACACTTAAAAAGAATAACAGATTTGCTTTATTGATTTTTGCAGCAGTAATATACCACGATTACTTCTGTTACCATTTTATCTCTCTCATGGGCTTTGTCCTCTGCTCTTACTGTTTTATACTTACATGAATATGTGTGAAATTTCACTGTTAATATTAATAGTGTGGAAAAGTTAATGACATCAATTCATCATCAATCAAGCAAATCCAGGTGATTTTCCTCCAGGTCTGTGATGTTCGAAACACAGTCAGAACCATAATGACTTCTAAAATTTTTATTATTACTAACTGTTATTATTGTGTGTGCTCATGAAAGTGTGTACATGTCTGTTTGAATAGGTCATTCATTTGTCTGGAGGTCAGAGGCCAGTTTTCAGGAGTGAGTTCTCTCCTTTCACTGTGTAAGTTTTAAGGCTGGAACTCAAATTGGTCCAGGTTTGGCTGAGCCATTTTGCCAACCTCCTCGTGACTCTTTGCTTTACAAGAATTTGTTTCATCAGCTTATTTAAGGAAATGTAATAACATTCCGAATATAAGAATATCTTTTTTTGTCTTCAAAAGATCAATGTTATTGCCTTTCAAATTAAACACTGTATATGATTAAAAAATCAATTAACATTTGAAGCCAAAATTCATTGTTTACGTTTTCTAAAGGCAGGGTTTGTCAGTGATAATAGAAAATTTTACCTTGTAAATTATTGTATTTATTTATTGGTGTCCCAAAGAGTTCCAAGAAATATTGTATCCAATTGACTCTATAAAATGCACTAAAACACGAAGTCAATATACTGACTCATATCTACTATTATAGTAGTTCATAGTCTTAGCTATGTATTAGAATCACATGTTGGGGATTTAAAAAGTTATGTATGCCATGTTTTCAATGTAATTGCCCAAATGGGATCTGGATAATTTATTTTGTAAAAACTGCCTATAAACTCTCTATGTGCAGCCATGTTGAGACCATTGAATTTCCCATTGATTCGATACTTCTGCTTTTTTGAAAATATTTATAACTGGAAAACTCTGAGTACATAAAGATATCTATATAAATTATGACATGCTACAACAGGAAACAAATTTTGATATATGACTTGATACATGCTTAGAGAAATCCCCAGAGAATTCAGATATTTAGTGATAAGCTTACATTTGGAATCTATTATTCCACATAATCTTGCCTGGTTTTGATTCTATTAGGATTGACCAAAGTTGGAGCACACACACACACACACACACACACACACACACACACACGCGAGTGCATGCTATTGGAACTGAATCTAACCCAAGGAGGTCAACAGGTAGAAATCAGTCAAGGACTCTGAGCAACATGAGCCCAAGATTAGATGAGGAAGAACAGAGAGACACAGCCTTGAGGAGGTTGACCGATGTAAGGTCAACTATACAAGTAGATTCTGAACAAGATAACAATTAGAAGCTATTATGATGAATCTAATGTCAACTTGCCACAAATTAGAATTGCCTGAGTCGGGAGCCTCACCTGAAGAACTGTCTTGATTGCTCTTGGAAGCCCCACCTTGATTGTGGGCTGTGTGTTCTGGTGGCAGCCCACATAAAAAGGCGAGGCGGAAGGAAAACCACCTCCCCTTTTGTGATTGGCCTTCAGTCCTGCCTCTGAGTTAATTTGCCCAGTGGCGGCTGCTGCTGCTGACTCCTCCCAAGAAAGAGGAAGCAGAGTTTGCAAACTTTCATTGTAGATTGGTGGTTTTCCAGGAAACTTCTGGGCAGGGAGTACTGAGGCACACAGCCTTGTGGACTAAGCAACTATGGGCTGTGCCCCCTGAACCTCAAATGAAAGACAGACATTGTGGGTCTACCCCGACTGCTGAGTCATGTGGCCTCAATGACAGAGTAACTGCCGGGTTCTCGTGTTTTTTTTTTTTTTCAGGTGTGACGTAACTATTTTCAAACTGACTTAATACATTCTTTTGTCTCGTCTTATTGGTTTTGTTGCTCTGGAGAACTGTGACGCACATAGAACCCAATGGAGAACTGTTGGGGTAGGGAAGGGGCTGAGAAGTTAGAAAAGGAAGAAGATGGTCTAACAGCTCTTGGCAGGAGGACATCAGGAGGCATCCAGGTAGGCTAGGTTCCAGCTCCAGGTCCAGCTCTCTTCCTCACACTGACTCTCCTTTAACAGAAGATTGCCAGAGAGATGACAGTTGCATGCCTCTATTTATCCTCTGTCCTGCACTGTTGAGACATGTCTTTGTAGGAATGACCAAATCACCAGAACTACTTGGGAGGAAAAAGGCAGCTTAAACCCTCTAGTACTAACATTTTGGCAAGCAGTCCTCAAACTAATTGCCACTGCTTGGTTCAAAGTGAACCCAGAACACACCTTGGGGCCCTAAACTGACTGTAAGATCAGAAAATACAGTGATGACAGAACATGCAGTTTGCTGTCCCTTCTAGGCCCAAAGTTAACAACTGCTGATCGGTAAATGCTTTGTAGTAAATTTAGTTAGATATCATTCTACCTCAAACACTTATCAAAGTTTTGGGCCACACTGAGCAGGCTTTAAGTGAATTCAAAGTTAAAACCACCTGTAACAGAAAGCAGTTAACTGTTAGTACTGCTCCCTTGGCTGGCTAGAGGCACCTGTCTTTGGGTTTCTATTGCATCTAAGAGACATCATGACCATGGCAACTCTTATAAAGGAAAACATTTAATCGGGCTTGCTTACAGTTAAGAGGTTTAGTCCATTATCATCATGGCTGGAAACACAGCAACACACAGGCAGACATGGTGCTGGAGAAAGATTTGAGAGTTCTGTATCTGGATCCTCGGGCAACAGGGCTTCCTGTGACTATGAGCCACTGAGCCTGGGCTTGAGCTTCTGAGACCTCAAAGGCCACCCCTAGTTACACACTTCCTCCAACAAAACCACAGCTACTCCAACAAGGCCACGCCTCCTAATAGTGTCAATCCCTATGGACCAAGCATTCAAACACATGAGCCTATGGGGGTCATTCCTATTGAAACCACCATGGCACAGTTTTTAGTACATGGCTTGCATCATCTTGCAAAGAACATAGTTTTCACATCCACTTCAATTAAAAACCTCAACAATGTTGACTCAAATCACTGCTGTCAGTCAACTGTGAGTATATGTGGTTTAGACCAGTAGGTTCTCAACCTTCCTAATGTTGCAAAGCTTTAATACTGTTTCTCATGTTGTAGTGACCCCCCCACCATAAAATTATTTTCGTTACTACTTCATAACTGTAGTTTTTCTACTGTCATGAATCATAATGTAAATATCTGTGCTTTCTGATGGTCTTAGGTGACCCCTGTTAATGGGTCATTCAACATCCCCCAAAGGGATCTCTACCCACAAGTTGAGTATCTTTGGTCTGGAGAGATTCAGGTTGCCCAGCTGACGTCTTCCACTATGAAAATGGTTATACGAGGTTTTATTAGCTACAGAACAAAGAAAGTCACAGATCATGGTATTTACCAAATACATTGCTGGGAATCACAGGTAGATGGAATACAGGGAAGCAGGGAAAACTCCCCTGTGGGTCTTAGAGCCTATGTAATAACACTCTTGGCTTTTGGATTAATTGCAGTTAGCAGTCTACTGATACATTCTAAGGATTTTATTTGGTAGTCAAGAGAATGTTAGAACAAACACAAGGTGGACAGTGATGGACTATTAAGGGGAGCAAAAACAGCCCAAGATAACCTAGACCTGTATTTAGAGTTCCACAATCACCAAGATCTAATCAGTCATTCAACTTTTTATACCAGGCGACACCAGTGGAAAGTTCCCCTGAGAACTTACATTTACAGTGGATAACAATGACTTGTCATTTACAAATCATGGTTCACTGATCTTTTCCTAGCTGCTCTCTTTGTTCCTCCTTGCAGGGATTATTCCACTGAAAATGCCTTTCATCTCCGGTTTCCATTTTGTTCTTTAGCTGAGAAGGTGCTCCAGGGAAGGTGGCCCTAACCTTAGGTCACCTCACCGGAAGTGAATTTTTCCAGTTCTCTGGTAACAGTCTGGACAAAAAGAGGTCAGAGGTTAGGTCAAATGGTTGAGAATAGGCATGAAGATTACTGTAATAACAGTAGGAGCTGACGTCTCTTCTTAGATTAATGGTATGTTTCCTATGCATGCTGAAAGAGTTTTGAAATACGAATTTCTTAGGCTACAAGCAGATACAAAATGTTATGCCTGGTTCAAGCTAGACAGACAGAAGGGAAAAGCGAACTAATGTTGATAGTCAAGATAGATCTAAAGGGAAATTGATGCCTAATAAAATCTTTGGGGACACCCCAGCAAAGGGAAATCCTAACCAGATGTTCTGATTATTGCGATTAGTGACTAGATTGGAACATTAGTGCAGGGTTTATTGGTTCCCACATGGTGGTTACAATGAGTGCCAGATGGCTCTCCTGACCCAGACAGCTAAGGAAACATTGCCCCTTCCTCTTTGCCATTCCAGCCATGAAAATGAAACAGGTTCAAAGGAAGAATTGGAAAAATTTTCCACAACTGTCATGTCAATGTGCTTTGATACTTCAGTTGAATTAGTGAGTTTTATTACTCTATAGGTCCCATGTATTAGTGTTTTTCCTATCAGTCTAATAAAACATTTTATAGCCTTCTGTTTGAAACAGCTTATAATGTTTATCTGAGAAACAATAGGTCCTAGAATCAGAGCACAGATTTTAATTAATAAAGATGGAAGAGAGGGATGATGAGATAGATCCAATACATGTTCCCTGGGTATATATTTTATTGCCAAAAGTCTTTTGGTATATAAGGATAATCATTCTATAACATGTATACAAGACTTTGAATTGTGGGTAACTTTCCAGGAAAGAAATTTTTACATGCTGTATTAGTTACTTGTCTGTTGCTGTGATAAAATGCCATGACCAAAGCTACTTACAGAAGAGTTTATTTATTTATTTTTTTGGCTAGTGCTTCCAGAGGGCTAAAATCAATAATGGCAGAGATGGCAAGGGAGCAGGACGCTGGCTGATATATTTTATCCCCACACAGGAAGTAGAGAGCATGAGCAGGAAGTAGGTTGAGGCTGTACGCCCCAAAACCCACCCCCAGGGACATACTACTTCCAGCAAGCCTCCTAAAGGTTCCTTCCACAGCCTCCCCCAACAGCACCACCAACTGGGATCAAGTGCTTCGATACATGAGCCACTGGGGACATTCCTCATTCAAATCATGGCAGTGTCTTCCTTTCTTTTCTGTTTCTATAATAAAATACCCTGACAAGCAACATCCAGCAGAAAAGATTATTTGGCTCACAGTTCCAGGGGGCTAAGTCTCTCAGGCAAGGGAAGACGTGGCAGGAAGCAGGATACCACGAGAGCACAGGCGGCGCTGGGTGATTACATTCCATCCCTAAACAGGAAGCAGAAAACAGGAAGTAGGGCCAGAACACAGAACTTCAAAGCCCTAAGGCCTGCCGGGTGTTGTGGTGCAAGCCTTTCATCCCAGAGCTTAGCAGGCAGAGACAAGTCTCTGTGGGTTCTAGGCCAGCCTTGCCTACAAAGTGAGTTCCAAGGCAGTCAGAGAGACTCTGTCTTTAAAAAACAAACAAACAAACAAACAAATAATGACAATAATAATAACAACTCAAAAACAAATCCCCAGTGTATACATCCTCCAGCAAAGCTTCACTTCTTAAAGGTTCCGTGACCTTCATAAACAGCGCCACCAAATAGAGACCAAGAGTTAAAACACATGAACCTCGGGGGCACAATTCTCACCTTAACCACCACAAGTCCCACCCAGACATCTTTATTTGGTACCTTGCTAGCCACGGTGATCAGTTTCCTATTACTCTAACATGAAGCTATCTGAAAAGGAAGTTTTCTGTTGCCTCCTCCCCAACTAAACAGCCTATTCAGCAACATACGACCATACGTAATTACTTCTTTCCAATTATTTTGAAGAAATATTCATTGTCTTTGCACAGTGTTTTTTTCCCCCTGCAGAGTTTTATAGAAGTCAATGCTTCAACTATTCAAAGGGATATTTGGAATTCCTTATCTATACCATCAAGTTTTATTTCAACACATTTGGTGGCTATTTAGAGAAATGTTTAAAAAATCCACAATTCATTTTATCCCTGGGCATTAGTAATAGTCTACTATTGATAGAGTTTGAAATGGCGTTGCTTTCAAACGAGATCTATGATACGCATTTCTTTTGCAGAGCAGGAAGAACAGCTCTGGCATCTCCTTCAGAAAGATTTACAGCACTAACAATTCCAGGCTATTTTAAGCCACAGTCAGCCTTTATAGGAGAAGTGGAAAAAACACTCAGTAATGCTTTGATTTTTTTTTCCTTCTAGAATTGCAAACTGATATTTTACATATAAGTTAGTTGAAGAAAATTGTGTATTCACACTTCAAGAATATGCCCAAGGTCACTACTTTCTTTTTAAAATTCTCCCCATGTGTGCTCAATGGGAAAAGAATAGTTTTCCCTAGAATTTATTCAATTCCAAAAGATCTGGAAATTGAGACTTCCTTAGTAAGTCTCCGAGGTATACAGCCCTTCTTCCAAATGCAACAGACTCAGAGTTTTGTAAAGAGTGACTTAAGTACATATAAAATACTTGGTGTCACAGTTGCTTGGTGCATGCTGTGGCAGCTCAGAACTGGGAAGCAGAGGCAGGAGGATCTGAACTTCAAAATTCATCCTTAGCTACATTGGAAGTTCAAGGCCAGCATGAGCTACATGAGACTGTAACTCAAATAAATAAATAAATAAATGAAACAAAATCATATCAAAATGCAGAGCCTTAAGTCTTCTATAGATATGTTCAAAACAACACTATCTACAGCAGTCAAAAAGTAGAAATAACACTGGTATCCAAAAATAGGAAAACTAATGAGCAAACTGTGGTATAAACATTAGAGAACGCCAGAGTATTGCTGTGAACTAAAAAGAGCAAACCACCAATGCACCCAGAAATATGATGATTAAAAGATATAAGAATATACACTATACCATTCTAGTATAGAATGTTCCAGAGAAATTTAGTATCTGGAAAAATTCTAGAATGACGCCTTCTCTGATACACTGTGAGGTTTGC